AATCTAACACACTGCAAATACATCATAGACTATGAAATGCATAAATACAATCTTAGCGCTTAAAAATAATAATTAATGTTCAAACTAATGTTTAAACAAATAAAACAAAATAAACTCACACTAGCACCTGAAGGACAACATCAACCGGGAACCATCAGCAGCCACAACCCACTAGATAAATAGTATCAATTAATGCATGGTAAACAATATACATCTTTACAGGCCTTTATGGAAAACCTTCTGTGCGCCCTGTACTGGTACCAGTGCTCAGCTTGGTGAAAAATACTATCTGTTTGTTCTTGTCTTTACACTTCTCCATTTCATATGAAAAGGGAGAAAACTTAAATCAAAAAGACAGGCTAGGCTATGTGCTGATGATTGATGGTGAAATACTGCAATTCCCAAAAACTGCACTGCTGGATATAAAGCAAAATGAAATGTGCACTGAATGTTTGTACAGGCCCAATATAAGTTTAATTCCCACAGTGTTTACTTGCAGGCAGTATAAGAAAGATTGTGTGACGTGTGGTTGTGTGATGAACAGATGTGATGGATAATGTTGAAATCCAAATATAAAGGGTGACTGTGGCTCAGGAGGTAGAAAGGGTCGTCCTCTCTATCGGCTACTGGCAGTGTGAATACTGTGTGAAAGACCATTTGGAGCATATAGTAACTCTGTATGATTGTTTGGGTGACTGGGTGAATGTGGTTTGTATCGGAAAAAACGTTTTGAGCGGTCGATCAAACTGTAAAAGCACTTTATAAATACAGAGCATTTAAAGCCCAGGGAGAACATTCTCTTTGTATTGTACAGTGCACCAACATCAGTGAAAACGATAAATATCGACATTCATATATTTGCTTTTTTCTTATTTTTCACATATATTAATTTCATTATTGATAAAGCTTGAAAATGGAAAAGATAAAACCCTTTTACATGAGTAATGCAGTAGAAAACATCTTTTGAGTACTGATACGTTTCTTTGCTGTGTTTGATTCGCCAGCTTTCCCAGGGTGTAATACAGTTCTAGAAAATACTTATAACTCTTGGGTCCAGTTCTACAGGATTTGCCTGAAGTGAATCAAGGATATTTCATATTTAATAATTGAAGATTTTGACCGAAGTTGAGACATAATTTTTCAAAGTAAGTAATGTTTCTTATTTTACACTTTATGCTGAACATTTCGAGTGAAACATGAGCTTTTGCTTCACTTCACATACACAAAAATAGTTTTGATTCATGTCCCACAGTTTTTGTAAGGGGAAAGACTGGGCAAGTGATGCAGCTGCAGAGGGAGATATTTTTCAATTCTATGAATGCCAACATAGACAAAGATTTATGTTGTTTGTACCATATTTATTGGATAATTCCATGAGCAAAATAATAAATAGATTAACCTACACTGCTGGGTTGTAGCCAGTCTGCTATCTTTGGAACATGAGCTCATCAGGAATCTTTCATCTGCAGGAGACCCATATTTGAAAAAGTTTGGAGACTGTGATCTCTCCTGGTCATTTGCAGAACTACAGGCCATTAGTTCACAACATGTTTCACTGTTCACCATGGATGAGTGGCATTTATTAGTCCGCCATCTACTGGGCCGGTAACAACTCTGTCACTGAGTGCTTGTGTAAAGTTAATGGATGACTCTGGAAATAAAAATTAAATTAAAAAAAGGCACAGCATGTAGACGTACATTTCATGTAGTGTTCAAAATGTATGATTATCTAAAACTAATCATCATTATGTTCTCCTTACCTCAGTGTGACCCTTTATATCTACATCAGGAGTGAGTCCTCTTCCACAGAGTCAGCCATGTTTCTACAGTAGCCCAGAATGGACAAATCAGACACTGGGTCTAAAAAGGACCTATCACACATTTACATTAACCGCAGGCTCCTGTAGCTTCTCCTACATGCTTGAAAAGGGGAGGGTGAGGTGAGGGTATTCAGTTAGTAGCAATATACGATTTCACCACTAGATGCCACTAAATTCTACCCACCGAACTTTTAAACACTTACCTCTTGTACAAATGTCAACAAACAGGAAAGAAACACAGACAAAAACAGTTTTCAGATCTTTTTTCACTCCAGTATTGTTTGCAGTAATCCCAGAGCAATGCGTTGATGCCAGAACTGATAGTGGTGCCATCCAGTTCATGTAAGTCTGATAAAAATTTATGTGCCCTTTGTTTCCCCGGTATTAGGAAGTAAACACACCATGCAGCGCTGCCTGCTGTGAGAATAGCAGCCAGAGCCATTCCCAGTCTGCAGTTCTGTTTTCTCTGCTGAGTTCTCTGCTTGTGACCTTTAGGTGGACCTAGTCTCGTCTTGCTGTGCCAGACATGGCATCCCACCCTCTTACTGTAATTATTTATAGTGCCCTTTTATGATTTTGATCTTAAGCATATTTTCTGGGCCACTGCTCAACCCATTTGGAGTTTTATGACATTGGGATGGAGCCCTTATTGTCAACGTGCTGGAACAGTGAGGAAACAGATGGTGATTTAGTTCTAGATGATGACATGCAACGTGCATTAGTCAGTATTTTTAGATCGTTCAACTTTAACATGAACCCATGACATGCATCGTCAAGCATAATTATTATATGGCCCATAAGTGTGTATCTTTCACTATATTTATCAACCTTACATGTCCACACGCTAGTAAAATAAAAATACCATCCCATAAAATCCCACATAATCCGTAGCACACATGCTAAAATGCCTGTGGTCGGGATTAGGTTTGACAAAATTAAAATTGAGTTTCAAAGATGCACATGTGAATCTAATGTGAAAATAAAAATGCGATATGAATACAAAACATAGTTAATGTTGTTTTTTTACATTCTGCACAGACTTACCATATGGCTTTGCAAAATAGACGAAATTCTAAATCCTTGTCCTGTTTGACTCTGATAAAGACACAGGTATCAAAACATTGGGCTGTTTGCTCTAATAAAGGCTGCTCATCAACCAGTATGTTTCATCCCTTTTGTCTCCTTCAGAGCTCATCAATCCTCAATCCTCTTTCTAGTTCAACATTTTTCAAATAGACTAAATTTAAAAGATCTTACATAGACCTTTACCCAAACTAATACATGAACAGTTTGTTTATGTAACAATTATCATGGAAAAAGAAAATCTGGAAGAATAAGGCTGAGAAAAAACACTTTTATTGCATAATTTAATAATTATGATCGTAAGCCCATTCTTCCTAATTCCAACCTAAAAGCAGAGCAGATATATTCACATAATAAATGTTGTTCTTGAACATGATCTACATGTCCTGTCTTTCTGGTGATTTTCCACAATTCGTCTTTGCATTTAAACTCCCTCCTTTTTAAAAGAATAATTTGCCTGCATTGTGATCTGCCTTCGAATTTTTTAAACAGTGAACAAACAGAGGAAACCAGCGTCTATGAACCCAAAAAAAGGCTAACTATAAATATGCCAGATAGTCTGACCCTTTCATGTTGAATAGAAACAGCACAATGCATGGTGCTGTTTTATTAGTTACACCCATATCTTCAATTCTATAATTATATGTCAGCTCTTTTTTAGAAGTTCATTTCCTGTGACAAATTTGGACGGTCTGACCATAAATTCCATGGATGAATGAGAGGGGAAAGGCGCTGATTCATACCAACTCAACTCACTAAATGTTCTGTCAGATTCCAGAACATTACATATTAAAAGACAGCGGATGGCTCACAGGGAGTTTCTGCTGCACTCTGTTCAAAGTCATATATCAGATTGAGTACTTCTGTCAACAGACATTGATGCCAGGAGAATTTCCCCATAAAAAAAGGTTTAATTTGATTACAAAAGTAAAATTTATAAGATGAAAATGAAAAAAACATAAAACAATGGAAACAAAAGGTGAATGAGATGTGCATCATGGAAAAAATTATG